GAAGGGGCAGCTGCAGAAAGCCGAGCAGGGCAGTGAAACCTAAGAGGGAACCTGTAAAAGTAGGAAACCTACCAAATTTCCTTTCCATTTCCACATTAGGATTTCCCACTTACACAGACAGAATATACGTAGTTCCCAGTTAGGCATTCCAGGACTGCAGACATTTTTTGACTTGAACAGGCTTCTGGCTTTTACAGGGTCTATCTTAGAAAGGCCACTGTATAATGAAAAAAGTATTCATGCTCCGAAGAACTTCTAGTATAAGCACAGAATCACAGAAATCATACGTCGCGTGTAGACAAAATGATGGGTATGTGTGCACGACACTTTAAAGCCAGCTAAATGCTTTTGTACCGCTTTAATGGTGTCAGTGTTTGCATACCTCGGCAGCATACTGTGCATTAATTCCAGCCGCTGTAGGAAATTCAGCAGCATAATGTGCCTTAAATGACTTTGGGTGTAACAAACTAAAACTCCTCTGAGGAGCTTTAGTTTGCTGCCCCTGCAGCCGTGGAGTGAAGCACAGGGCTCCATGCAACTCAGGGGCTCTGCAGGAAGCCCATGCAGGCAGCCTGGCAGCAGCCTGGGAAGGCAGGCTCCACCCAAGAAAAGCAGCAAGCCTGATGTTTTCTGGTTTTTTCCCCTGGAGCCTGCCTGCCTAAGCTGTGTGGTGGCCTGGTGCTTCCCTCTGCGGCTGCGGTGCCCCCAGGACTGCCTGAGCTGGGTGCCTGCAGGCAGGGGCCGCCTGAGGGAGGGCCACCGCTGCCACAGAGGGAAGCACCAGCCCCTCTCCCCACAGCAGCCTGGGGACGGCTCCACCTGTCGGCAGCTCGCCCTCCCCTCCCCACCACCAGAAAGGCAGATAAGTCAGTGTGTGCATGACATGGGGGTTTAAAGGGCCCTAAATTGAAGCAGTTTTTTTAAAAACCCACCACTTTGGTTTAGGTCCCCCGTTTTGTCTACACACGTCCATAGGAGAAAAGACTTGAAGGGACATAAGGCAAGAGACAAAAGATGGATACAACAGTTAGGGCAAGCAGAAGGTGAAAGTGAGAATTATGATCAATCTAGTAAGCAGTAGTCACAGCACACCACCAGCTGTCTAGCCATCGAACCGTGGGAATCTACTCTAACTCCATGAGGAGAAGACAAACAGAGAACACTAAATGTCTGAGACATGCTGACAGATCACTACAGGAACTGACAGCCTCAGAGATATGCTTACATGACAGTGCACTGCGCTAGCACAGCAACATCACTTCCATTACCCACGTTAGCATGTTCAGAGCTAGCTCCAGTACGGCCACGTTGTCCTGCATCGTTTGGCGGGGGGTCGGACCCATTAACTTCTCCACCAACAGCATCAGCAAGGGTGCCAATTAATGGTTTTGTAGTGTGGGTATCTGCTCAGAGTTCTAGCAATAGGAACATGGCTGTTTCAGTGGGCAACTCCACCAAGCTCGACATAATTATCACTGCTTGTGAACTGAACAGCTCTGTGGGTATGTCTGGATGGCACAATGCAATGTTATGCCAAAATTGTGGGGGGTCGGGCTAGAAGATCTACTAGGTCCCTTCCGACCCTTAATCTATGAATCGTGACATACAGACATGTGTAGGATGATAGTACAGCGCGAGCAACTGCAATGAAATGTTATTCTCTATCTGGTACGTTCCTGTTTCAGAAGATGCTATTTCTGTTATGTCACAGGTTCGTCCCTTCTTTTATCATATTCTTTTACTAACTAGGAAAAAATCATTGTGACCTTTGCATATCAGGTTGCTTGATTATATGAAGGAATCCAAAAGACTGGGAAGTTCCTCCTTCTCTTTCTTTCCCGTGCCTTGCATAGGTTTTTAAAGAAAAGCACAATGCACCAGCACTTTGTTTAATTTCATAAACACCATAAAGTATGCTTCTTTGACAGAAACTGATTAAAATTTTCACATAAGAAGAACATGCAAAAATATTTCTCAGCCAAAGGATAACACCCTAGTCCTGCAGACACATACGAACATGAGAAACAGGATTCATGCAGGAACTTCTATAGATTAATAGGAAAAGAATTATGGTTGTCCTTAATGGTCTGCCGGCCCTGGGAACTACTGGACACTGGTGAGCATAGCACAGATGAAATAAAGGGTAAGGTACATTGGAATAGGACTGGGAGCCAGGGGCCTTGACCAGGGGATAGCTCCTTTGTAGATGTGAGAACCAGCACCTGGCCAGCACACAAAGGATGGAGCCACTGATTTCCAGTAAGAAGCATGAGCTGCTACAGTTTGAGCTACACAGCTGCAAAGGAGTCTCTAAACTTACAAATCAGTAGGCTAGATTGGGCCCAAGAAGTTAACTGTTGCTACAACGTTCCCAGATCTAAAATGGGGTGCTGAAAAGCTGCTAGTTCTGAGCATGCTTGCTTAAAAAACCTATATGCTCTGTGTAACATGGCCCTTGCTTCAGCACGTAAAGCCCAATATTAAACTCCCTTCTGGATGAGAACAGCATTTGTGAGTGGGTACAGAGGATGATACCAAACAGAATCGCTTTGGTAGTAGATGCTTCCTAGATACGTGTTATGAATCCCTCAAGGTCAGGCCACAGAAAATATTCCCAACCCAACACCTTTTAATGGAGAACTTTTAGAGTCATGTCCAATGATGATGCAGCTCTCCCTCTCTCTTGTGTTAGGGTTAAAACCACAGAAGCTGAAAGGGCCAACTTACTTGCAAATAGTACAGGCAAAGCAATTTGGATGGTAGGTTTTGCCCAGAGCTGTCACTACTTCTCCTTCAACAAATTCACCGCAGCCGTTGCAGCGGGTTCCATACATGCGCTGGTAATCCAACGTGCAGAGGTACTCCCCGTTCTTAATGAAAAATCCTCCCTGTGCCAGGTCACAGCCACACACTGGAAAAAGCAAACACACAAATCAAGTAAGAGATATGTTCAAATCAGATCACCGGGTCAGAACCAGACCCCTCCACTTCAGCCACCCAAGCTTCTGCAGAGATGACTTACTTAACAAATAGGGTGAGTTTGGAGGTCTTGGTCTGCCATTCAATGAGTGTTGGTCTTCGTCACCAGTGCACTATGCCATATGGTAATGATGACCAGAATACCCTGGCACTAGAATACATAGTATTCCTGTGCTCATCTCCTTACCAAGCCTGAAAACCACCATATTTAGTCTGTCTGTCTGATTTCATTCCAGTGCTCTGAAATTATCTTATGAAGAGTCCAAGGAAGTGTATCCTTGGGACCCACCAGGACACCAGTACTGATGGGGGACAGAATTTAACATTGCCATTTATTAGAGAATACAACTCCACAGACAGATCCTTAACCTAAAATTGCTCCTAGTTGAATTGAAGTGAATTTCACCAACCTTAACCAAAAGAGAGGCTTTAGTGGACAGTTAACTGAGGCTGTCCCCTGTTTGGTCCCTGGTGATGCAGATTATGCGGCAGTGTGGCACCCTGCCTGCATGCTAGGGTTGTGGTAGATGCAGGTGTGCCCTACAGACAAGCGCTGAAGGACAAGGGGTCTGCCCTCATCAGGTGCACTTTGCATTACATTTGCTCCTGATCAGCAGCAATTTACCTCTTTACTGTGCAGTGACTGCTTTATAATCTGCTCACTTCTCATGGCTGATTTATGGATGCAGACCGTGAGGGTAGGAGACACTATGAAAATACAGGGGCTGAAAAGTGGCACCCCTTGGCTGGAGGTCATAGTTGGCATGACCAGCCAGGAAGATCCTGTCACAATGAGTATTTTTAAGCATTAAGGGCCTACCCTGCCCAGATAACTGTGCAGTGAGAACAGCAACTTCCTGGAAATGAAGAGCTCATTTGACTAGGATTCTGGACAAGGGTTAGACACAGCCTCGGGTGGCGCATGCAGGGACTTGGCCTTCCACTTCTGAAAGCGTTTCAAACTCCAGCAGGCAGGATTTCCTCCCACCACCTTGCAGAGCAAGGAGAGAGCAGAGAGGATCCCCTGGGACCAGCAAGTGTACCTGGTTGCCCATTACACGGACTCTTACAGCCAACGAGAAGTCTGTCTGCAAGAGACAGGGTGAATCCCCAAGCGATTAGAGAAATATCTGCTAGGGAATAGTTAGAACATGGAACTGAAGTTTGAATTCCTGGTTCCCTCCCACTTCTGCCACCGCCCTACCAGGTATGTCTACACAGCACAATACAGTGCAGTATAGAGATACCTGGCCTGGCTTGAAGACTGGAAGCATGGAGCCCTGAGCCAACACATCTTGATTTTTTCTGGTAACTCTTTTATTGCTAACTTAGCTCCCTTGACACTTCACTGCACAAGAGAGACATAGCTGCCGTAGGACCTTGGGCAAATCACTTCAGCTTCCGCTGCTGAATAGTTAAGTGGGGGGTGGAGGGGTTAACCATGCAGGCATCAACTGAATCTGCTGCTACTGTTTCATCTGTCTGCACCTACCCACAGTATGTGAAAGCTGAACCAGGACATCCTCTCTCAAAAGAAGCAGGGTTAGTAATAGTTTTACTTTACTCTTTGTGCGATTAAACATAAAGATGGAGCAGAATCAACTTATATGTGGATAGGAACAATCCCACAAAACTGTACAGCTTCATCTGCCTGTCACCAAACAGGGAAATGAACACACAGGCCAGTAGGGATCATGGTATTTCCCTGCCTACCAAGAGCGTTGTGCGGTTTTGCCCAATGCTTGTGAAATGCTTCGAGATCCGGGGGCAGAAGGTATGATAAAAACAGTAATTTTGCTTTTCAAACAGCAGAAGTTACCAGGTGACTTAGCAGAAAAATAATGCTGGTGCAGCTGGTAAGGGAACTTCCCCAAGGAATCCAATAAAAACTGAACCCATCCAACAGGACAGTTTCCCAGGGCTGGTGTGTGGAGCAGGACGTTTCCAAAGGCATTCTTCTCATTTCTCTGCGCCCCACAGCCGGTTTGCTGTCCTGGCCCTGTCCCACCAAGATCCTACGCAACTACAGCAGAAAGGAGATGAGCAGAGGTCAACTCCTTGCTTAGGAGTTAGGAAATGCAGTCACAAGCAGGACACTCAGCATCTCTCTGACCAGGGCTCCCATTTCACAGAAAAGCCGACAGACCAGGACAGAGGAATCTTCTTGAATCCAGGCTCAAACACCTGAAATACTGATATCAACTTGGACTGCTGAAGTTTATATCAGGTTACATTAGTCAACAGAACAGCATCACAGGGAACATTATGAACTGCTCTGTTCTCCTTTTAATGTAGCTATGAACCCACACCAGCTCTGAGCCACAAGAGAAGCAGGGGACAGCCAGGGCAGGTCAAAGTTAGGACACTTCACTGTTGACAGGGCTCCTTTAAAAAGACCCTTTTTGTAGAAAAGGACCTGGGGGTTACAGTAGACAATAAGCTGAATAGGAGCCAGCAGTGTGCTCTTGTTGCCAAGAAGGCTAACAGCATACTGGGCTGCATTAGTAGAAGCACTGGCAGCAGATCAAGAGACGTGGTTATTCCCCTCTGTTTGGCACTGGTGAGACCACATCTGGAGTCCTGTGTCCAGTTTTGGGCCCCCACTACAGAAAGGATGTGGACAAATTGGAGAAAGTCCATCAGAGGGCAATGAAAATAGGGGGCTGGGGGACATGACTTGTGAAGAGAGACTGAGGGAACTGGGCTTCTTGGCCAGTTCCAGACATGCTCAGCATTTTTTAAACCATGTTAACCAATTCACATCACACAGTTTGAATCAAATTTCAATTTGAATTAAGGGTTAACAGACGATCATTGGCACCTCCAATTTACTAGTGTTGGAAGTAATTAGGAGGCAATAATACGCCTGTTTAAACACTGCTGTGGTGTTACAATTATCTGAGCGCTGTGCAGCTGACCTGATACCCTGTCCAGGGGAGGCTGTTGGCACATTTGACTTTGTAAAGCTTTGTGCCTGACTGGCTCCCTCGTGCTGCAAAAATCCAGTCGACTTTCCCTCGAGGGGACTGATATTTGCAATGCTTATTTGTATATCTGAGTTCCTAAGGACTGTTTTTCCTAAAAGCAACACTGTATATACATGTTAATTCATACTGTTTAACTTGCCTAATTCGGACTGCCCTAGTCTGCATTTAACTTTAAGTCTCATTCAATGGATTAGTTAATTCAGATTGGAGCCAATTTTAATTCAAACTATAGTCATCCATGTGTACATAGTGGCAGCTGCAGTCTGGGTTAAGCCTAGAAAAACACCATGTCTATAAATAGCCATTTAGTGTGGAGAAGAGAAGACTGAGAAAGGATTTAAGAGCAGCCTTCAGCTGCCTGAAGGGTAGTTACGAAGAGGATGGAGCTGGACTGTTCTCAGCAGTGGCAGAGGACAGAGCAAGAAGCAATGGTCTCAAGCTGCAACAAGGAAGTTTAGGTTAGATAGTAGGAAAAAAAATTCTTACAAGAAGATAGTGAAGTACTGGAACAGACTACTCAGAGAGATCTCCATCCTTGGAGGTTTTTAAGACCTGTCTAGACAAAACCTTGGCTGGGATGATCTTGCTGGTGATGGTACTGCTTTGGATCTAGGGGTTAGACTAGATGACCTCCTGAGGTCCCCTCCAACCCTAACTTTCTATGACTCAGTGATTCTACAACTCATTTAAATCGCATGCTACTAACAGAGGGGTGAGAGGCATCAGTGTCTCAGTTATGCAGTACAGTAACTTGTTCCAAAAAACAAGAAAGCCAAGATGCAGAAGAGCTACACCTCCAGCACAGTCAGTCCCAGCCTCCTCCCATTCTCTAGTCCAAGGAAGAGATTGTCTTTATCAACACAGTTATATATTCCAGTCTCAGGGAAAGAGACAGTTCTAGACATGGAACAGACTTTTACTATTTAATATATTAGCGCTGTCTGGTAGCAGACACTACTTTGCAAGCACACTTCTCTTTTAAGAGGCTTTCATGTCTAGCTGGCATTTCCTTGTGAAACAATGAATATCTTAGAAACGTTCTGCACTTTAGATTCAATCCTTCCCTAACCAAACACTTCTCCCCTTCCCCACCTCAACCCCAGCACTAGAGGATACCCAGGCTGCTTGTCTGACATTGCATAAATCGTCACCTGCTGTAGAAACACCCTGCCCTGGTTTCCTCGAACCTTTGAGATTGAGGGGGGTTTGCTTATTACCTTATGTGCTGGGCCACAGCAATGATGCTGGGCAAATCTTTTCTGCGCAAACCCCTTGTCAAAAAGGAAGAAAAAGCAGGTATTCAAACTCCAGAAACAAGTCACCTCACTCAGCCACACTATACACCCTATATAGCTCATAATTAACTGAACAAACAACTGAATATTGATCTTTAGAAGAAAACAAGGCAAACAGGAATAAAAAGATACATACACATGGGTCCACCAGACAAATCATCATCATGAGAATAACTGTGATTCTGAAGCAGATGATTTTGAAACCCTGCTGCTTTTAAGTAAGTGTTTTGTATTCAACATACAAAAAACTAGAGCTCTTGGTTCTAAATTGATCCCTTTTATTAGAGCAACTGGAAAATTGCAAGAATTGTGATTCAACACAGACACACATGAGCTTCAGGTTCAAGTCTACCCTGCCTGCATCAGATCAAGGACCTGAGCCTCTGAGTACTATTTCTATTTTTGCAGTTTTCATGGAAAATTTCACAGAATTTGTCCCACTCCAAAGTGGGAAAATTTCCACACAGCTCGAAGAGAATGCATTTTCTTTTCAGCAATTCAGTTGCATCATTTGTGCAACATAAAGAACACGTACAGTATTTCACAAAACTCTCATGGCTGCCTAAATATCAGCTTCCTATTGGCAGGACCTCCCAGAAAGACAGATGTCAGATGGATTGCTAGTATCTGGGTACTCTGGTCCCGTCAGT